GCCATCATGGAGTGCAGAGCCGCTTCGGATTTAGTGGATTTGGGAATTCCCTGCAATTTATACCTTTTCCCATCTACCCAGAAAATCAGAAACATTTCATTCCAGTTGGCTTGAATAGTGTTCAGAGAAGCCAACCACTTGATGCCTAGCACGAGATCAGATCCAGAGAGAGAAAATGGATAAAAATCCTGAGTAATACTCAAACCTGGAAGCTGCAACTTTACGGCCTTGCATATTTTTCCACATCGCACAAGGCTGCCATCCCCAATCTGTACCCCCAACACCGGAATAGAGGTGATAACTAAATTTAATTCATTTACCAACCTTTCTGAGATGAAGTTGTGGGTGGAGCCGCTATCAACCAAACATAGGACATTGCGGTTTTGAATTGATCCTTGTAGTTTCATTGTTGCCGCTGATGATGTCCCAAGAATGGCATTGAAAGAAATTTCTGCCTCTTCTATGATTTCTTCCATTTTAGGAGCAGGCTCAAATGTTTCCGGAATTGGATTTCCTTCCACATCTACTTCCATTAGTGAGAAAGTGGATGTCGTAAAACGGTGCCCTGGTCGAAATGGGTCTCCCCAGCGGAAACAGAGCCCTTTGTTTCGTCGTTCTTGCCGAGTAGTATCCCACGAATTAGAGCGAAAGGGAATGACTGATTGTGAGGAACCTGGGTTTTGCGACGTAGGATTGTGCGAAGTCAAGGTCTTTGCTGACGAATCAGGTACAGATTGATTCCTGCCCGAGTTGGTGCTGTAAGTGGCTCGGGCTGAACTTGCAGTTGAACAAGGTCGGGTACTTTGGGTACCCTGCAGCTTTTTCTCCATCTCTAGGGCCAAACTTGTCGCACGATAGACACTCTGAGGTTTGTGTATTCTCACCTCAGAGCGCAATTCCTCCTTCAATCCGTTCAGGAAAATCCCAAGCAGGCAGTGATCGGGCCAATTTTTCACCCTTGCTACTCGTCGCGCCCATTCCACACGATATTCTTGGACAGTTTCCACCTGTTGAACAGCTGCGAGGTACTCATCTGGATTTTGGTATTCCGGAGGTCCGTATTGTTCTTGCAATATCTTGACCAATTCCTCCCAGTACAACACCGATAAAGCCCAAGAAAACATGTCCAATGCATCTCCTTCAAGATACATCGACGCTATGTCCACCTTTTCTTCATCCGGTGTTTCATAGTACCGAAAATATTTCTCTGCTTTCAAAATCCAACCACGTGGGTCACCTCCTGAGAATTTGGGAAACTCAATTTTTGCATACAGAGGCTGGAAGTGTCGTCGTGAATGAGATTCTGATTCCTCCTCGGAATTGTCAGCATAGATCTTCTTCTTTGTTGTTGGATTGCGGTTGTGGACTTCTAAAGCTGCTACTTTGTCTCGTAACTCATCCAGAATGTCCAGTCGGGCAGCGATGGCGGCCAAGGTATCATTCTGTTGTGCTAGGGTGTTGCCGACATCAGGATTGCCATCAGTTGCGGAAGATCGAGTGTTTACCATAGTTGGGCAAGATCTAGGCTCCGATACCAAAATGATAGATACCAAAAACTGGAAACTAAAAACAAGAACAAATCTTCTAAATCTCTTTAAATCAAGAATCTCGATTCTTGAGACTAAGAAGCCCAAGAGAATCTCTGAAAATATAAATGTAATATTACTCCTGCCCTTTAGCATAAACTGGCTAAGGGTATAAATAATGCAGTAATACAAGGGAAATAACAGAAAAGAGAAACTGACTCCTTGGGTTTAGATGGTGATCCCATCATCCCACAAATATTTCAACTGACTCTAACAACTTTGACTGACCCAATTGCTAATAAAAAGGGATATTTTAAATGACTAACAACTTTGACTGACTCAATTACTAATATAAAGGGATAGACTCATATTTAGGTAAATAAATAAATAAACATGACCAAGTCATAAAACATGACTAAGTCAAATGCTTATTCCTGCGCCGCTGATAAGTGAGCAGTGGCTTAGTCTTATTCAGAGTCCTATCA